CCCCCCCCCCCCCCAGCCCTCCACAGGGAACCCCAAAAGGCCCGTGAAGCCACCCAGGGATGCTCTGCCCCTGGTCTGAGCAGGGCACAGGCAAGAGGAGGAGCACTGCCCCGCAGGGGCTTCGTTTTCTTTTCTGCTCCGGTGATTAAGTGCTTGTTTTTGTCTCCCCCCCACCCCTCTCTCTGCCCCTGTCTATTCTAGGCTGACGTCTGAGGTCACTGGAATGGGCGCACTCTAATTTCCACCCACCATCCTCCACTCTGCACCACCCGACCCTCTCCAGCCACCGGCACTTCACCCAGCCCGTGCTGCCTGTACTTTTACCGTCCTCCCTTTGCCTCCACAGATACTCTTTTCTTTACTAACATACACACACACACACACACACACACAGATAAATACACACCCATCTGCACACACTGGAACGTTTCTTTCCATGCTCCTCACTGTGCTCCTGAGGCTGCTCCCGAGCTCTTTGGTTTTGGTCCTTGTTTTCAGCGTATGGTGTTATTGCTTCATGGGGGGGGGGGGGGGGGCTGTTGTGTTTATTTTTCTGCTGGCAAGACTTCAGAAGATGATGGGGTCTGTAGTGTCAGTCTAGTGTAGCTGCTTGCACGTTTGAGTTGACGTTGGCGGTACTTGCTGTAGCCTGTGGGTGTGTGAGGCCACCCAGAGCTGTGTGTGCTTCAGAGGACTTAACTTTTCTCGCCCTTCTTCCTTGAATGCTCCCTCTTCCTTTGCTTTGCTTGTCCTGGCTCCCCTTTGCCACCTGGCATCCCTGCCCTTAGGGTAAGGTCTGGTTTTCCTCTTCCCCCTCCCTCCCCCATGTTATTTGGGAAGCAGAACTCGTGGGAGCTGAGCCAGGCGAGTTCACCTGCAGGCTCCTCTCTCTGCAACATGGCAGGGGCCAGACAAGCCATTTTTCATACTAAACCAAGGGAGTCCCCCCCGCCGACACAAATAGTCCTCTTTTTAAACTTAACGAGCAACTGAAAGTGGGACAAATTCAGCTGTATGGGATTCACACCCCCAAGGGGCCTTTGAAAGCTTTTGACAATCCCCATGAGCAAAACCTTTTGGACAGTAGCTCAGGAAGCTCTTGTTTGTCACTGTTTGTGTTCAATAAATGTCTGTGCAGCTCTGCTACCCATGGGCTCCGACTGTTCTTCTCCTGGGTCGACCCACCATGTCCAGCCCCATCCTTCCACACCTTTTCAGCTGCTTGGAGGGAAGGTGGGGTTGTATACAAAACCTCAGCATCATTATTATTGATATGATTATTATTATTATCATCATGGCCATACTCATATTTTATTTTATTTAGAGAAGGTCCCCATCAGCAATGCACTTCCTGAGTGATTCTAGGCTTTCTTTTTTTAAAAAAAAGAGAAAGTTCTTGGCTTCCATAATGCTTTGGTTTTCTTTAAGATTAGTTTACAGGTTATGGTATGACAGCACACATCTCTTACAGCCCCCTTGTCTGGACAGATCTGCCATGTCTGTGCCCCACACCTTTCCCCAAGTCCCTCTATGCCCAGCTCTATCTTCTGCTCCCAGGTTTTACTTCTCTCTCCTACCTCTCAAACAGGGAAACAAATATATTTTCCATCTGTTAATCTTCTACTGTGCAAAAAAGTTCTTCCTGTATTGCAAACGATGGGGATCATGCTGCACCATGTTCCCCAGGCAGCTAAAGTAGCCACATGATGTATTTGAGCTCCATATCACATGGGAAATATATTGTTTTTCCAGGTGAGCCCTGAGGCTTCGTGGCCTTTTCCTCTCTTCCTCCCCTGGTGCCAACAGGCACCTCTGGGCAGCTCCTGCAGGATGCTGGCCCACTTCTCCTGTCGCCAGTGCCAGCTGCTCAGCACCCACATGGGACTGTGATGGGGACCCCGGGTGATGGGCAGGGGGGCTTTGGGTTCCAGCAGCAGCACAGGAGCTAGGGCAGCTGCTGGGCAACTGTCAGGGCCAGTGGCAGGGCTCAGAGAGGGTGAAAGGAGCAGGTTTGCTTGAGCAAGACAGGGTCTCCCTGCTCTCTCTGTGTGGATCTGGTCATCTCCCTGGGGAGGTCCATCCCCCCAGCCCAGGAGCCCACTGCTGGCAAAGCTCTAGAGCAGTGGGGGAGGCTGCCACCCACTGCTGCTGAGCATCAAGGGTTTGCTCAGTCTGGGGGTCATAAAACTGTGCGTGCTCAGCTTTTTGCAGCATTTCAAGCCTCTGCATTGACAGGAGCTTCCAGCTCCTTCATAAGGTGCTTTGCTGCCCATTCCCAGTTCCTTGCTCTGCTCTTGCTGTGCCTTTCAAGTGGTCCAGCAGCCAAATGTGCTCAAGAGCATCCCCTTAATCCCCATCCAGTGGAGTGTGGGGGCTTTGGGCTCAGGTGGAGCCAGTAACTTTTCCCCAACAGCAGCCCCTCCTTCTATGTGTGCTGATGCCAGAGGAGGCACCAAATGTTGCCTCCCCCCAAGGTACCAGCTGGCCAGAGAAAGCACAGTCTCATCTCCCAAGGTGCTGAGGCAGCTGTGGGCAACTGGCTCTGCTCATCCTCTGCTGTTCCTCACCCTGATCTAGCCCAAGGATTTTTCCTATTGAAAGAACAAAATAACTTG